TATATATATATAAATAATTTTCATATGACTTTGTTATATTTTTTTTATAAATCACTTGAATATTCATAGAGCGATCATTGAATATTCGTAAAGCGATCGTTTAAAAAAACGTCATCATCGTTGGACCAGAGAGAAATCTGAAAAATTATGCCGGCCTTTTTCCTGTTATCGTTGAAAACACTATCGCCTATCCGTTTTCTAACATTGTCGATAAAATCGTATCGTCGAAAGTGAACGTGCTACAGCCACAGGATAAAAATGTGCCGACTATCCATATGGAGGGACAGTCTTCTATCTTGTGGATATTCAATAGATATGTACACATACTTTAAATATATACATAGTAGAATTTTATTGAGTTTATAACAAAAATAACAGATTATTATGCATAAAAAAACGATCTATGTAATACATGGACAATACATAAAGATTCATGTGTACACACACACACACACACACACACACACACACACACACACACACACACACACACACAGAGGATCAAATTCCATCATTTACAATCATTAGAAACAAGGGATGTTTCAAGAAATATTTGGACATTATTATCAAATTGTGCATAAGCTAAATTACATATAACGATGTTGAATGGAGTTATAAATGATTGATGTATGATTGTCGCTAGTTTGTAATATATTTACCAGATTTTCAAGTGGTTTTAGGTGGCACAAGCACTTACGGCTATACAATTCTATCATCATAATATCAGTCCAATGACTTACATAGTCAGATGCATTGTAACACATAGCCATGCATTTCAATCGCGATTGATAACACCTCAATAAAGAAAATTACCTAAATCTTTTTCCTTGTCACTTTCATAAATAACACCATGTCTGAAATACATAAAAAATATTAATGCAAGTTAAATGACAATTCAGCTACTAATATTTTTATAACCTACTGGCAACAGTATAACATTGTCCCTAAAAAACATTTGTATAATTAACATATGAAATACTCACTAAAAAATACAATCAGAACGAAAGCTATCATAAGCCATACCCAGCATCTCCATTTTGAGTTCGTATGCTCTTCTAACTTCAGGGATTCCTTTTTTAAATTAATAGCATTTACATCAGTCAATTTGTCAGACATTTCCAGCATGCCGATATCTTTTTTTATGATAGCACTAGCCGCTAATGCATGTTCCTTCATAGTGCTGGTCATAGAGAGCATATTCTCAGCGATCTTCTCCTGAATATTACGATTATACTTCAAAATAGCGTCCAGATCTTCATCCTTGATATTAGAGCTTGATAATCTCTGTCGTATACCATCCTTATTTATTTCTGTAACATATAATGAGATTTAATGTCGAGAATTATATATAAAAATCTATCTTAGTTTTATAATTAACACGTTCTATACTGCATGAATCACCAATGATGTATGATAGATTTTCTGTTCAGGCTGAGTTATGTTCAGATTCTCATTTGACAAGTGTTATCTATATATCATTCCTTGTTATTCATTGAATGTTAAAGAAGGATAACACTTGAGTGGATAACTCAAGTGGGAATCTGATTGTGCCCTTGTTTGATATTAATTATAAACAATTTTGATTAATTATAAACAAAAAGAACATAGTTATAAAATAATTTTTTTTATATAATATATAATTGTAATATATTATACATATTGATATATTAGGTCTTCTTTTTTATAATAATTTTTGTAATTTTTTTATGAAATACATGTTATTTAAACCCTCCGTGAACCAAGTGGGATCTGATATATCCCAGCAAGATAAATTTCTATAACTTTTTAAAAAGTACCGCGCGCATTCATTGCCGCGGTTTCATGCAACTGAAGAGTGCGTTGTTACTAATAATACTAAATTATAGTATATTTATGATAAAGTACAGTATGGGGCATGAGATATATTCACATATGATCCATATTGATTTTCCACCTTCACGGAAAGTTAATAAATATAACAAACATAAATGCCATGAATCATCGATAAGCTACCCGCTATAATCAAGTCACTTAAAATTGGCCCAGCATGAGATATATATATATAAGTTACCTCTGTTGTTATGAAATAATTCCGCCCGTAATTCCCGATTGTATTTAGCGACAGTCTTCTGATGTATTTGCGTTGTAATGTTTGTACTGGCGGAATTGTTAGTGGACATTGAATTTTTCGATAACAATTGTGCGGCAACCACTCTCTCCACTGGATTTGACAACTTCATTGCATTTATGACTCCTTTTAGAAAATTTATCCGCTTAATGTAGCCCATCATGGTATCCTTGGATGGTTTACTATAAATTCAATTTTTTAATATTACACAAACATCTTTAATATTGCGAATATAATAATAATTAGATATAATTTTTAAAATGTGCAGATCGTCTTAGACTGCACAAGTGCAGTTAACAGTGAAATCCCCAAGTTATTTTAAAATGAAAATCCAAATCTTGAGGCTAACAGTTTTAAAATAAAAAATGTTTAAAGTTTACCATTGAAATTACCTCATTCTTAAAAAAATATCACCTTCTCAAGGTAAAGTCCAATTATAGAAATTCGAATGTATAGACATAGCACGATGAAGGTGTGAATTATCATTTATATATAATATCTTTGACAGTTCGGAATCATAGGCCAATTAAAAGAGAAGAAAAAATTTGACAGTTTGATATGTATCATTTTTTTCAATAGTGATACTCAAGATTTATTCTTGTTATTATTACCAAAATATTCAATGTTTACTTTTATTACTTAATAACTTGTGTATGAATATAATCAAATTAAAAAGCAGTTATAAGAACAATCTGCAGAAGGTTATCTTAGTATCAAGAATACTGATATTTAGGAACATTTTCACTGAATGATGTCACATCTGAATTTTGACAATTTCAATGATCAACTTTAAATTTCTTGTTTAAAAATTATAACTTTGACATTTTGGATTTTTTCGTTTCGAAATAATCTGTAGACTTATTTTATAACTCTTAATATTAATATTATTATCACTCAACAGCTCGTTTATATATTAACAACAGTCGTTAAGTTAAGTCTACAAAAGAGTTCGCTATTAATTATTCAAGTTTGAGAACATTCTGCATATTTAATGTGACCAGATATTTTTGAATCTAAAGTGGGAATGTTATTAAGAAAGGGGGAGAAAAAAATATATAGATGTAAAGATAAATATTAATAACAATTTATTTTTAAAAAATAATTCAATTATTTGTAATTATGATTTAAAATTATCTGCTTTAACAAGATTAATAAATCCTTAAGAAATATACATAAAAAAAATTCTCTCAACTGAAATAATAATTAATTCTTATTATTAATATTGCTTTTAAAATTAAACTCAAAGTTGAGTTTTTTGTTGTCCACATTTTGTTTATTTCAGAAAAAAACTCAACAGTTAAGATATTTTTTGGAAGCAGTTCATATTGTATTTCATAATTTGAAAAGATTTATAAAATATTTTTGTTACTTTTCTACTAAAATTGAGATACTTAATATGTTTAATGAGACAGAGGAACAAGTATTTCAAAAGTAGAAATCATGTCCTGAAATCATTTGAAATATCTGGTTACATTATGTATATACTATATTCTAATACGTAAGTATTAATAATAAATAATACATATTATATTTTATAACTAAAATTATATTACTTTGGTGAAGTCTGCAGTTTGTTCATCATGTCATCTAGAGAAAGTATATACTGAAACAAAGAATTTATATAAACAAAACTTGTATAATCAGCAAGTATTTATAGTACAATATAAATATTATGTATGTAGCAAATTTTATGTGTGTGCTATTATAGATTATACATAACAAATTTCTATATTTTCTAAAAGTCAGTTTTATATATATTATATATAAAAATAACTCAACATACATATATAAGCATACATTGATTCATATAAAAACAAGAATAAATGCTATAATCATCTAATGAAATTATCTCAATTACTTTTTACTTTAAGCAATTGTATGAAGTTATACTCATAAAACTTTAACTGTAACGTATATTAAATAAAAACATAATAGAAACGTAGAAATAAGAAGTAGCTCGCGCACTTTTTCGAGCTTCCAGTCTTGGTGTGGATCATCCTTTGCTATTAATTCGCAGCGTGTTAGAAGTCGCTTGACATTGATTTCCAGCCTGGTCATTTGAATCATTTGGCATAAATTTGACTTGATGGCAAGGAAAGCTTCGTGCTCTACAATATTCCGTTCAACATATGTCATGTACAATATTGCCAACTCGCTGATAGAACAAATCTCTAAATTAAGAATATAGTTTGCATTGCTTGAAATCTCTACAATTTTACTGTAAATTTCTTATTATTGGGTTGTCTGGAAAGTTCGTGCTGACTAATCTATATAATTTAATAAATGTATACTAAAATTTAAATCTTGCGTTTCAATTTTCCTTCAAAATAGGCACGAACTTTCCGGACAACCCAATATATAAATTATGGGTTACATGGAGTTACAGAATAGCCCTGCTGCACTTCCGGATCCAGAAACAGAAAGAGAAGTATAGACACGATTTTATATGTGTTGTCAGCAATTGTCAGTCCATATAAGATCTATGGCGGTACACGGTTCGACCCAGTTTGACCGGCTACCGATAATTAGTACTCCAGATCACCATCGAGGGAGTTGGTTTCGTCGGCGAGACTAGGTCGACTGGGTGTCGGACTGATCGGACATCATCGGACGAGCAGCCGGAGCAGGGCGAGGCTGTTGGCCAAGGCTAAAGGAGCAGGAGAAGAAAGAAGATATTGATCAGAAACGATTAGTAACGATCAACAGCATCAGCTGTTGCATAGACGCACACAACGCAATAGTAACAAAAAGAATAACAGCTGTATTGTCGTCAGTCATCATGGGCAAACGAAATAGCGAGGATTTGGATCAGGATGTACAGGAGCGGATGCTTAAGGAGGATAGCACCGCGAAAATCGCAACTGAGAAGGATGAGAAGACCACCGAGGTGAGAATCTCCTTCGTGTCGATCATCTCGCTTTTATGCTTTTCGATTTCTGAAATTCTAATCTAATTATTTAGAATACCTCCATCCGCTTCAATTTTCATGAAATTCGGTTCGACGCGTTTTTGTATGAAACGAAAGAACCTGGCGGAAAAAAAGTCGCTCTGCCTCTTGAATCCGAGATATTGATTATTAAAGTTGACTTCAGGTTAGGAAATTATCGTAGCCATTAAAAAGATTCCTTCTCTATTCTTGGCTGAGTTTTGGCCCTCACACTAAGCTTTTTGTTTCATTCTTGTTGTTTATTAAACAAGGACAATTGATTCACAAGCGTTATAAACGTCTAAGCGAATGCAGCCTATTATTCGTATTCATAGATCACAGGCCTTATATTTAAGATTTCCTTAAATTTATCTTTAGATATTCTACGAATTATTTCATTGGCTGCTGAGCATCTAAAGAAAAATTTAATAAAGAAGTTCTTTAAGACAAGTTCTGATTATGGCTGTGATCAAAGTCTTGCTACAAATGCTTTGAAGCATTTGATGGACCAATTAGAAGAAAGAATTGTACAAACTGACCAATTAAAAAACGTTTCAAAAGCATTTGCAGCTACCTGTACGGTAGTCGCCTGGGCTTCGTTATTTTCGCGGACATTGCATCATCTTTTACAACTTCGGAAGACAGGAGTTTTTATGCGATCGTTTTATGATTGTTGAGATTGAATCATTCTCTTAAACTAAAAGTATAATCCAATCAGCGCAAAGAAAACTTACAACGGTTGCAAAATAAACCAAAAAAATTTTGCTGAACAAAGCCATTAATATAAGAATATATGCGCGAAGAGTTTCCGCTCCGCTGCCTCCGCAAAACCGAAGGCAATTTTTAAAAATTAAATCTTGCTTTGCGTGCTAAGTTGAAAATGAATTCCATATGAGTACAATTCTTTCACGCATGACAAGAACAGAGAAGGATCTTTTTCATGGCTGTAACAGTTTTTCTAACTTGAACAGTTATCACCTAGTAAACGAAGATTGAAATGGATTAAACTGGATTCAGATTTTCAGAAATACGGATTCATGTTAAAATTAATTCTTTTCAATTCTGAATGCATTTTTATTCATTTATAGGATATTGCATAGAGCATATCTTTATGCCTTTCCAAAATCCAAAAATAATATTAACATTTTCTGTGCATCGTGAATACTACTCAATTCAGAATTGTGAATAGAAAATACGATTTTTTAAATTCAGTTAAATTAAAAAATAATATCAGCAATTTCTGTGCAATCTGCTTAATTCAATATTCTGAATATGAAATGCAGTTTTTCAATCTAATTGAATATAAAAAGTTTTTATTTAAAACTTGATCATAAATGCTACTTAAATTATTTAAAATTATAGGAAATTTTTTATTTTTTATTCCAACTAAGTTCAAAAAAATTATAACGTAAAAATAATTGAGCTGTATTCATTTGTTTCTCTTTGATTTGAGAAGTAAAATGAATGATCGATGTGAACACAAATTAAGTCGAACAAGCTCGAATATTAGACTAACCATGCGACATCGGCCAAGAGATTAAATTATTCAGCACTTACCCAATATTGTCTCATAGTAATATAAATTGTTTATACTTTATTATGTCTATTACTATGTCTATTAAATGATGATATTTTTATCATATCTATATAATTTCGTTACTAGTTTAGCTGGTTGTAATTGAAGTAGAGAATGAATAACATTTTACTAATTGAAGAAATACCGGGTATTGTAGAAGATTCATAATCCAGAGGAGTCCCAGGTTCGAATCCCATTAATTTTTTAATATCATTTTTTAAATATCAATTTGAAGTAATTAATTTCAGATATAATTATTATAAATGTCTTAGGAATAAAACTTGTAACTCTTAAAGATGAATGTTTTTTTTTCGAATATTCGGTGTTAGTTCGGATTCAATCCATTTTCATGGATTTAAAGTACGCATTAAAGAAATTTTAATCCATTCTCGTTGGCTGGGCAATTTTAATGATTAATATTGGTTTATGAATCAGAATGACACCACGACACTTCTTTCTGCTAGATTCTTTCGTTTTATGCAAAAACGCAAATGAGCCTAATCAAAATTGAAGTGGCGGGGATGTTCTGAATAATTACTCCTTCCCCCTTCCCCTCACACACACACACACACACATACGCGCGCGCGCGTATATGTATAATACGCGTGTAATAAGCAACTGATCGTAGTGAGCTCATCCCTCGTCAGTGCTCGTGTCACTTATTGGATTATCTCTGCTTATCTTCTATACTCGTTCCGTAATTCACTATTTTTCCTGATTATTCAAAAACTAAACTAACAGATGAAATGGCAAAGAAAATATTATCTTAGACCTTTGTCAGTGTTTCAATATCAAACATTCTATTATGGTTGCGTTATTCACTGAATCAAGGGGTTCAAACCTCTTTTTTAGAAAAATGTGAATAAATTTTGCGCCTCTTGCACTTGATGCAGACAAGACATTCCAAGTTAGTCCATTCTATTAATCAATTTAAAGATTTTTATAGAACTATAATGGCTCGATAATTTGACCAACATCCAACATCCCTTTAAGAAAATTCTCTATTCATCCCTCTGCGTACTTTTAAAGTTAGCTCGGATTCTCATATGAACAATAACGCTTTGGAACATTGATTGATGAAAAAATAGGTGATGAGGTAAATTTTACTCTCACGTCTGGCTTTTCACTAATCAGAGTTCGATTAAAGCGCTGTTGTTTGTATTAGGATCCGAGTTTATTCTTCATCTTTTTTCCATAAATTTAAAAAAAAATTTTTTCATGTTTTAAATAATTGTTACATTTAAAGATCTTAGGTCCGGTTGTTCCATGGTAAATTTTACTTATTAGATAAATTTGGCAATCTGCGCATGTGATTAGGTAATCTTGCTACTTATCCAACAAGTAAAATTTACCAAAAGGAATAACCAGTCCTTATTCTTTTGAGCATGCCAACTGGTTATGGAAAAATATATAGTTAATAAAAAATACGTAGCGTAGAGATTGACTACTAGAGTCTACATGATGGATTATATGATGAAATGTAATTTGTAATGATTTCGATATGTAATTTTTATTAGTGCGCTGAAGATGAAGGCTAGAATTATAAGATATTGAGTGCTTTCCAGCAAGGACACAGTCAGATAGAGTCAGACACAGATGAGTCTTTTCATCCTTGTTTAACGTAGGCAAACAAGAATGTAATAATTCACTACACTGTGTCTGACTGTATTCTTACTGGAAAGCACCAATTATATGTAAAGCACTAATATAAATGCATAACGTAAAATGAGACGCGTCACGGGCATGCGATCGAAGACGGCCGTTGATAGCGTGCTCCAATAAGGATAAACTGCGGTACCTATTAAATAAAAAAGTGTAAAAGAGTTAGAGTATAAAAGAATAAGAGAATAAGACAGCTGAAGTTTATCAAAAACTCAGCCTAAGTTCCATGCGGAATATTCGAGAATACTTGGAATACAACGACAGTTTAGAAACATGAGAAATTTTCTTACCGAACGCCAATCAATAATACGTTTTGCGTGAATACGTGTCTATAATATTCGCAAGATCTAATTCGATAAGTTATTATAGTTTTCTTACTTTAAGAGTAATAATTTTTAGAAATTTCAAACAACGCGAACAGTCTAAATTGTATTTATTATTGTATATATTTTTATTATATTTATACTTAAAACTTTAATCAGCTCTTTAATATTTTGAAAATCAATTACCATGTTAGTCTGATATATTGAATTATATTACAATATAATATATTTATAATTATATTATAAATTTTCTTTTGATATATTTATAATTATCATCACTTTATAATTATCATATTTATAATTATCATTATTTTTTTTATTCTCTATTTGAGTTATTTCATAATATGCTTCTTTGATAGGTGAAATTTATCTCGGAAAATGGCGACGCCAAAATCGATATTGAGATGGTGAAGACAGTGTTCTCTGGAATGGGAAAAGAAGAATTGATGAAATTTGCAAACGATCCGTTCTGGGTTAGATTGAGATGGGCCTTGTTCATTTTCTTTTGGCTGATATGGGCAGCTATGTTAGCTGGTGCCATAGCCATCATTGTAATGGCACCAAAGTGTTCTGCTCCTGAACCGAAAGAACTGTGGGAGGAGAGCGCAATTGTTGAGCTAGATGTCTCAGATGTTTTTAACAATGACTTGACAGAACTGGAACGTACACTGAGCGATTTGAAAAACCAACATATCAGAGCTATTTCTCTCTCATCTCTGGTGAAGGAAAGCGCAAATGGTATGTATACACTCAAAAGTCACACTTTTATCTTCCTAAAATATATTATATTAATTGTAATCTTAATTAATATTCTTATTTTTTCATGGTAGGAGAAGTCATAGATTTTAAAGCCATCAAACCAGAATTAGGAAACATCAGTGATTTGGAAAATCTTATTAAGATAGCAAATGAAAAAGATCAACAAATCTTCTTGGAATTGGATCCTAACCATTCCTCCATTAATCATCCATGGTTTAAACAATCTGTAAAAAGGCAGGATCCATTCACGTCCTATTATGTCTGGGCTGATGGAATAACCAGCTCTAACAGCGGAAAAGAAAGACACCCTCCGAATAATTGGGTTAGTTAAGCTTCTCTTTGACAAGTAATTCTCTGACACAGAAAGAGAATAACGCATATTAAATTAAAATATGCTTTTGCAGTTAAGTATATATGGTGAATCCGCGTGGGAATGGAATGAACAAAGGGGTCAATATTATCTTCATCAATTTAATAAATCGCAACCTGACTTGAATTATAACAACCCAGCAGTGGTGGCAGAATTTGAAGTAGGTTTTTTCGCGTTCTACTTTAATCGATCAATTTACCATATCTTGATTTATATTTTATGTCCTATTTATTTTAAAGGATATCTTTACTCATTGGCTTAAATTGGGCATTAGTGGTTTTCGTTTGGCAAACACGCAATATTTAACGGAAGATCCGGATCTGCATGACGAATCCAGAAGTATTCTTCCCGTTGAACCGAACAATTATCAATCCCTGGTACACATTTATACACGCGATCGTTCAGAAAACGCTGCAGTGTTGTCAAAGTGGCAAAAGATCGTTCGTAATGAAACCGCTGGCAAAGGGTATGCTTGTTCTTAATTTTGTAATTAGATATGACATCAATATTTACTAACGTGATGCTATTATTTATAGATTATTTGCATTGCAAGATGACATCCGTGCAGATATTTTGCAAGTTTATAACGATAAGACTACGATTGATCTACCGCAGAATTCACATTTTCTCACTACTGCCAATGCGAGCATAAACGCGACGGATCTGCTTAGGAGCATAAGACAATGGCTTGCGGTTACATCATGGCCTGCGTGGAACGTAAGTTAGAAATAACAAGATTAATTTTATCACATAATTTTAAAAATGTTTGTAATTATTATATAATTTCAAGTTGGATTGTGTGTGTGTGTGCGTGTGTGTGTGTGTGTGTGTGTGTGTGTGTGTGTGTGTGTGTGTGTGTGTGTGTGTGTGTGTGTGTGTGTGTGAAATTCACATCGAGTTATTGAGGCATTAAAGATCCAGACTGTATAAGACTTTAATTTCTTAATTGTATATTCACATTATGATCTTAAAGATACTTTGTTTAATATTGTTTTAAATCTTTGATTTTTTAAATATATTTATTTGTCAATCAAAAATAGGTGAATGGCAAACAGCTTTCCTTGAGGCAACGCATGCCTAAAGAAGTCGCCGATAGTATCGTATTAATGACCATGTTATTACCGGGTACACCAATTCTTCGAATGGACGATGTCATGTCCGCAAAGGATGCTTTTGCGACCTTGTCAAGTGCCCGAAGTGGTCTAACATTCCTCCATGGGCATGTGACGCTCAGAATAGTAAACGGGACAGTCTTTGTATATACGAGGTAAATAATTTTTCTTTAAATTTAACAATTTATTTAAAAATTAATATATAATATGTGTGTGGTAATCATCATATTTAAGAATTTACATACATTTTAATCAAATCGAAATATAAATGAATGAAAGTTAAATATTATATTCGCGAACCATTTTTAGAAGCCTTATGGACAACAGAATAGTATATATATTATTAATCTAATTACTATCGATTGGAATTTTGAAAACATTAATTATTTCAATTTGTTTCTTAATTTTTTTAAAATTTTATTTATACATAAGAAAGAGTAGAGTATATATTTATACTAAAAAAAAATATAAAAAAATAGATTTTAATTGGATAATCAAATTCATCTTCATGTAACATACACAACACAATTGACTTATATTCAGTTACTCTTATTAAACACAGATCAGACACAGTGAAAGAAATAAAGAAATTACGGATTTAAATCTGAAATCGTGCATTCCAGCTATCTAGTTTCTAATAGGTTGAAATTATTTCTTGTTTATTATTCTTTATTCTATTCATTGTGTTTGAATTCTTAAAAATGTCTTGACCCATATTTTCACAGTGCTTTTAGCGACATGTTTTGCTTAATTTGTATCTCGTATTGAATAGTACAATTATACGATTGTACAACTTCATAACAGATAAAATTAACGGATAAAACTCTTCAGCATTTTTGATATTGAATAGACTTAAAAATGCGAGGTAACAAAAGTGCTTTGCTCACATAATAAATATATTATAATAGACTACTAACTAAAGAATTTTTTTTTGTTCCACGCTTCCTTATATTCGATACAGAAGTTGGTGAGTCCACGCAGTATTAAATAATCGTATCGCAATTACACTTTGCTATAAAAACTTGACTGTAAGAATATAATAAAACTAATCAATGGCAAAAGTTAAAAGTGTATATATACGAGGTGTGACTCATATATATGTACTATATATATATATATGAGGTCCATCTTTTTCGACTTTCAAATTTTTTCGGCACTCTTTAGAATGATTCCAATCCATAAAAAAGTAATTCCTGTCACATTTCAGCTCGGACAATGGGAATTTATGCAGACATAACAGCTCGTTAAACATTTGAGTTTTCTTACATTATATTAATAGCATTGATTTTTAAAGTGTATTTTCCATAAAAATCGACTTAAAAGACTTTTTTTTTTTAACATATGTGTCTTTTCTGTATCATTTGAAACCTCATACTCATATCTCATTTAAATAATTAGGTGAATTGTTGTCATTTAAACAATTAAGAGAAACACAATGTAAATTAGATCATAGATCGATATTCATAATCGATTCTTATATTTAACACCATCTTATGTACTTAAGATGTTATAAGATGAAATCAATCCGAAGACCATATTAGCCATCTTAGACGTTACTTAAGACAATCTTTAAATAAGAATGGACTATGAATACTGGTCAATCTTAAATTTTTGATCGGCAGTATACATGATTTCATATATAACTTATATTTTATATTATATATATTCTTCAACATATTTTGCTATACTTAATCAAAATACGAAAGTATATCAATAAATATGTAAATTAAATTTATAGGCTAAAAAGTGGCAATCCTGGATATCTCGTAGTGTATCAGACTGGGGAAGAACTAGCCACTATAAATTTATCCGGAATACCGCGAATATCGGAGGAAGTCAGTGTAGTTGCGCATAGTCCTAACTACGTTCAAAATACGAAAGTTATGAAGTAAGAGTCTTTTTAAAATTTGTAAAAAATCTATTTTATTACTTTATCTATTTAATAAGTATTTCTTCCATTTTAATACCTATTACTTTATTTTAATACTGGAATTTTATCGCTTTTGTAGGATGAAACTGCCGTCGGATGCTGTACCCATATCGCCAAAAAGCACACTGGTTTTAACATTTGTACCGAAAGAGGAATCGTAATCAATCCAATTATAATTAAATCAATCCAAAAGGTTCAAATTATGAAAGCAATCAGCTATATATGATTGCGTCATTATTATTTTGCTTCAATATACGAGACTGATGAAAATAAAGTTGTATGTCAAAACGATTATGTAAAATTAAACTGAATTTTAATTTAAAAAACAATAAAAACTCGAGATCCTAAAAATGTGAAAAAATGTTTAAAATGGATTATGAGCTAATAGTAAATTATATATCATTTTTATTGGTCTTGTGTCATCAGAAAAATAAGATCCACTTTCAGGAAGCTGAAAAGAAGGTATAACCTGTTCAGTACTACTGTTACTTACTATTCATTGCCTTCATCGTTAGAATCGTTTAAAAGTGTTGAAGACATAAAAAATGTCTTCAATGTACTCTTAAATTTTATTCTTGCATTTGAGTGTTTGAGATTATATAATTTCAAATTTGCCAATTAGTATACAACAATAGCGACAATTGGTATACATCTGTATTATAATAATACAGTTAATTAATATGAAGTATTTTTTCGTATTCAATTTTCAATTAACTAATATTATGGTTTTTTTCTCCATGGCTGGTTAAGGATACTATTATTTCATTCGTGTTTTTGTCGTACGACAAATGTGTTCAGGATAGAGAGATCCTTGGATCTCTCTATTTTATAGCCAATCAATAAGCTTGAAAAATTTGTCATACGATAAAAAGACATAGACAAAATAGCAGCTTAAGTATCACATATAAGGCGTGTTCAGAGAGACATTATTCGTGTCATTCTATCCTTATTTTATGTCTAATAAACGATGAAGATAGTCTGATCAGAAATAGCGCTAATAGAGTTTCCCTGAACGCACTAATAATAACATATAATATTCCCCTTCCGTTTGTGAGACTTAAATTATATTATTATTTCTCTCAATGTTCTATATAATTACATATAGAGAATGTATTTAATGTTATAATCTAAGTCATAATCCAGAATAAAATGGGCGTAGTTATTTCTTGTGCAAAATCTTCATTCATTCGTATATTGAAACAAATTATAATGTGAAAAAAAATTTTACTTGAGTTATGTACTCGTGTCATACCCTAATCATTATATCGCGTAGCAAAAGAAATGTATCTCGATGTATATGAAATATATACATATGTAGCAAACAAATACAAAAATTGCTAACTTCTTTTAGGAGCTCTGTACCTTAGTAAAAAAAAGATGATAGAGAACGATAGAAAAGAATCCTATCGTTTGAAATATGGAATCTGGTGTTCGCGAATTCATTGATTTGATTCAAATCTTATTAGGAATCTTGTACAAATTTTGATAAAATATAATAAGATTCATATCTGATCAATCCTGATGTTCGCGAGATCGACGATAGAAAATGATATAAATTTATAGAAAACTATATAAATTCATAAAAATCCAACCATTCTCTATCAACTTTTTTTTTATCACATTTACATTTTCGAAAGATTTTACACAAACTATTGAAAGAGAATCTTTATTAAAAGAATCCCACAATGCTTTCACGTGTTTGTTCGCAAAATTTCACCTTTATCACATAAATACACAGCCTAATAATGTTAATTTTAAACATGCGGGAGATAGTACGTATAGACACTATACAGTATATATATATTGTTTTGCTTGGGGGACTTATTCAATATGCAGTTTGTGTGGATCAGTGAATTTCGCCGTTATAATATAAAACAGAGCAGGTAATACAACTAAAAGCAACATTGTGGGATGAATAGTGATTTCCCGAAGAGTTGCAACTGCTATCACGCCATATCCATGCAGCAACCAATGGCCCAAAATGACAATTACATTCTTTACATCCGAGATAGAACTTAACAACAATGATTTTACTGTTTGATTCAATTTAAATGCGAAATGCGCTGCATTTGAAAGCACCGACAGGATAATAAGAATGTAAGGGAAGGAATAATCTGTAAAAAAAATATATAATTAGTAATTGGCACATTGGTTTTACTAGGGTGTACGTATAGAACATACATATTAGACCTCCTCCCACGGCATGTAGCAGTGCAAGGATTGGATAGAAATACAACGCTGCGTAAATAGAAAACTTTCCCTGTTTTGGTAAAAATTTCTTAGCTATTAGTGGCCTTATTAACAGCATGAGAACTATTCCTAAAGCGTAGAAGACAAAAACCATAGTGTATCTGTAAGATCATAAAATAATATGTTGGAAGATATTCTGTAATTAATATAAAATATCTGAGGAAAATAATGGTTTTTATTTAACTTTGGAAAATTGGAATGCATTCTGTGACAAGCTAATAAATTTTCCGTAGTATTACTCTAACATTAAACTGGTAATTTTATTATTTGATTAGAAATTAAAAGTAGCCAATAAAGATTTCATCTATTGCTGTAATTCTATTAATCTTCATTATATCACAAAAATAGTTTATAGTCTAGAGAAAAATACTTAACAAAAATTTTTATTTTCATATGGGTAAATTAATTTGATATATAGGTAACTGTACTAACAATGGATAAATTGCCTCTTGCGTGCAGTGTAAAGTTGCTTCGTAATTAGGATTCGGATTATGCAGTAGTGTGTACCAGTCCGATAACTTTTTTGCCTTGCATGACTTAATGTTGAACGATCCAATGGGATCTGTTAGCTGAAGGACTATGAGGGATGCCAGGACTACTTCGAATAATGCAGAGAGATGAAGGGCGATCACCTCTTTGGGTATATTACGACGCATTGCGACCATGTCAATGCAGAACCAGTGCAGCACCAAAGCTAACAAGACCATGAAGCCCAGGTACAGCCAATCATAGAACATTGGCGCGTCCTCACAGGGCTCGCATGCCGATGAGGCGTTAGCGCGGAAGCCACGCGGACAAGCTCCACAATTGCTCCAATTTCCATCTGGCAACAATTCCCTGCCACAGTATAATCCGGGACATCGTATAAGGACATTCATGATATCGCTTTTCTTGAGACAGCTTAAAAATAAAGAGAGTAATTAAGTATACAAGTACAGCCCGTATCTCAAAAATAAATGAAATTAGACTTGTTCGACGCATTTTTGCATACAATGAAAGAATCTGACAGAAAAAAGAATTGCTCTGTCTTGCGAACAGAGATATTAGTCGTCAAAGTTGACTATTCAGGTTAGGAAAACTGTTACAGCCACGAAACATTGTGGTGACACTAAGCGACAGTAAGCGGTTGTTTTAACTTCAAAAATGTGTTGATTTTGGTAATTATTCAGACTATCTCAAAAATCAATGAAATTGGGCTTATTCGACGCGTTTTTGCATGAAACAAAAGAATCTGGCAGAAATATGCATCGCTTTGTCCCGTGGCCCGAGATATTAATCGTTTAAGGTTTTTTTTTTTTAAATTCCTTCGAGTGAGGGAAATTAGGCGCATTGAACCCTAACCTTTGAATTATATATATGACGCAAAGATGTAATTTCTAATTCATTACATTGTTAGTTCATTATGTATTAAATTCATCGTAATCGAGGTTCTCAAACTATAATTAGCTCTTTCCTCCTTTTTTTCCATAGTCAATAAAATCCTTCGATCAAACTCGTAAATAAAGTTCCTTTTTCTTATTTTAGCAGCAATCTTAAATACATAGCATTGGCCGTGTTCTTTTTGGAATTTTTGCACTAGTTCATCTTTCTTTTTCTTCTTTCCTCCTAAAGAGAAAAGAAAGAAAGATGAACTAGTGTAAAAGTTCAGCTAAAAAGAACAGATCTATTCTCTTCTTGGTTGCACTAAAGTCCTATAAGAAAAGAGCGACGTGTTAAGTTTGTTTCTGATTGGTCATTGCAATCATATGACTTAGCAATCACGAACTGATTTCTGTTTATTAGAAATGGCTATTTAATGGATGATTGGTGGATTTCATAGTCCGTCTTGCAAATGATGTTTGCAAGAATTGGTTGCGTTCAGAGGACTCAACAGTTGAATGAACGCACGCTGTTATTGGTGTATTCTTTTAGATCATTCAATCAGCATTCTAATGTCCGTATTCATAGTCAGACCTTGTGCTTAAGGCTTTCTTAATTTTATCTTTAGATGCTCAGCAGCCAATGAAATAATTCGTACATTATCTGAAGATAAATTTAAGGAAGTCTTAAGCCGGTTTTATGTAGTTAATTGCAAGCCGATCGCAAGTTTGTTGCGACAGCCAATCTGAAGCTTGCATTTTGAAATCAACACTTCATATAGGCTGTTGCAAAAAAACATTCGATCCTCTAAATCTAGGCATTTTAAATACTTTTTTTAGTACTTTTTAGTACTTTTGCAATACGGTCCATTACTGCAAATATTTCGAGCATTTTTTGATTCAATCAATTAGTGAAATCTTTCTTCTGAGTGGTCAGTCAAATGTTTCCAAAGCGTTTGTAGCATCAAGTGGATTGCACCCATAATAGATAAAAGTCGATCGCACTTCTTTGACATATGATGAAAATATACAAGATAAAACATTGCACATAATGGTGATACTGGAAATAACCAATCAAATGTTCCCCAACATGCACTTTCTACGTATAATAGCGCTGATGTACTGGAACAGCCAATTAAAATTCACGCTGTTACTGCGCAACTGCGGGAATGGTTCTGATAAATTTAGAATTGTAAGATCCTGCACACAATAGAGGAAATATTAAGAATAGGAATAAATATTAAGATTTCAATCTATCAGAAAGTATATATTCCGATATAACTGACATTTGATAGGTTGAAATTTTTTTAATATTTATTCCTGTTTCTAATATTTTTATTGTGTGTAGGCCCTAACTCCGAATAAAAACGTCTCTATTTGCTTATTTTGGTAAAAATTTATAATATGACAACACAGGTTCATAATCTCAATTTTAAAGTGAGTTTACGAAACTCACTAAAATACAGGTCTTGATGCAGATTATATAAAAACTCAGTTGAATCTTACTAGTCAGAATGTAAATGGAATGCGCATTCAACTGAGTTATGACGTCACAGAAGTGAAAATTATCTGAGAATCGATGTAAGATAAGAGATGGAAAGAGCGAGCGAGCGAGAGAGAGAGATATATTAGCCATCAGTACACGATATACGTAACGCGGCAACGTGATTCGTCAATAACGATCGAGCCATGCGTCGCGCCATCCTTTGTGCGATTTTATCTTTCAGCGCGACGATTGCTCGCGACGAATTGACCACGACGTCCGCAAGCAGCAGGAATCGATCGCAAATGCAACGGACAGTTAGTGGCGATCGATACGCGATTGGTCGGCGATCTGTGGCCAATGGCGTGTCGCTACCAACGACATGCCGGGCGTGCGCGTGACGCTACCGCCACCTGCCGCGCTCGACCACTTCCGTCGATATTCGGTCACCTTCGGTCGACAATTGCCGAGTACATGTTACTATTTTCAGGCACGCAGGGCACCTCTTGACTTGATTTTCTATAAGTGAAGGTGGGCGACGGTGTGCGACGTGACAGTCTCGAGATTCGAATCCTTTTTCTCCGCGTGTGATTCACCTCGCGGAACATCGCGAACGGACATTGGAGACCTCCCCCCTCCCCCCCCACCTCCCTGGCTTAAAAGCAGAACGGTTCATGGTGCGGTGCGGTGCGGTGGTGACGAACAAGCGAGAGATTTGGTCAGGGCGGTGGAGTGGTGTGTTTGCGCGCGCGCGTGCGACGAGTGAGACGAGTGGAGCGGTGGCGAACTGCGAAGCGAAGTCAAGTGAAGACTTTTCCGCGAGTGAGACTTTTCCGAGTGGAGAATAGTGAAAGACACGTCATACGGCAGGCCGCAGGCGAGCCGAGTAGTCAGAGTTAAGAGTAACGATAGCAGCGACGCAAGGCGATGTCGAGCCACGTTCCGGCGACTGTCGACGCCTGACGTAAGGTCGCGTTCGTTTCCATCGGAAAATGAGAGACAGACCTCCACGTAGCAGCGAGCAGCTGATGGCGGTCGTGTCCAATGCTACTGAGAGCTGCTCCTAACATACACGTCTACTCCAAACGTCGTGCAGTTCACCGTACATCGGACGTGCGAGTAGCGAGGAGGAGGAAGTGGAGACGGAGTAGCAATAGCAATTGGTGGCATTCGGTAGTTGCCGGTCACCGTTGTAGAAAAGGAGTCGTCGGTAGAGTGTCGATAGTTGAGAGTCTCCGGCATCTCTCCATTCTATATTCTCCACTCTCCGCTCGGCGGAACGACGGATTGCGCCCGTCTGCTGACTGCTCCAAGCGATTGTATATATCGTGTGTGTGTGTGCGTCTGCGTGTGTGTGTATGTATGTATGCGCGCGCGCACGGCCACACTTATTATCCACGGCCATACTTCCTACCGACCGTGCGCTGTCGAATCAACTGTACGCGCAACTTGTTCTATTTCATAACGGTGCTTCTTCTCTTTCCCTCTTCAGCCACCGGCGGTTCAGTACGACTCGATTCGGTGCGCGCGGTCGCACGTTGCGTGCGTGCGTGGGTGCGTACGTACGTGCGAGCGTGCGTGCGTACAAGCGAACGACACGCAATCCGTGACATCGTCGGAGAAGAGTCCTCGTCACTAACGAAATCGTCATCATCATCATTATCATCATCAGCAGCAGCAGCAGCAGCGGCAGTTATCTGCCACTGACCGGCGCTACTGCCGCTGCCGTTGTCGTTGTCGATTGAATCCACCTTGCGTCGCGAGTGTATTGAATTGGTACCGAATTGAGATTGAGAAAGCAGAGTCGCCGGTCGGACGTTTTACAACGTCGTATCATAGCGTTTCACATATTTTTCGCACGGTGTAGGTGGGAGCACCTACGTTCGCGGAAGGAAGGAAGAAAAAACGGACGGACGGACGGACGGACGACAGATAGATAGGCAGGCAGCACACGGGCGTGCATTCGTATGTGACAACGCCTAGCCATTTGGAGATTATCGCGCTCCCGGTGACGGTAACAGCGACGACCAGGAAGCCGGCTAAAGTTCGATAGAGCAAGTACTGCGTGAACGAAATTGAAGATTTCGGAAACAGCAAAGTCAGCGAGCTCTCTCGATCTAATCTACCGGAGGAAACGAGTTCTCCACGTGTGCTATGCGCGACAAACGTCCTCCTTGGCAAATTATACTTCATCATCGTCCTCTACCTCCGCTACTTCCTCTCGTTGTTCGGTACACAGCATGAATGGTAAGGTATGTTGAAGGAACGTGTGGACTGAGAACAGGCAGGAGAGAAAGAGGAAGAATTGATGCGATCGGGTGTAAAGCCGCGTGACGTGCATTGTGGTAACAGTGTGTGCCTTTCATTCATTTCCTCGTGAATTCAGAGTGTGTTATTCGTCTCACAGTCGCGGCCACGGAATGCGGCCTCTTCGGGGCGGAGGTGATCTTGGTCTTTAGTCGTGAGACCAGCCCGCTGTTTGCGGAAAGGTTCAGAACATCCAGAGGAAAACAGACGCGAGCGCTCCCGTTTGAGCTTCACCAGGATAGTGCCTCTGTTAATGCCAAAATGTCGTCAGGGGCCTTCGTCGACAGGATAGATCCCTTCGCCAAGCGATCTCTCAAGAAGAAATCCAAGAAGTCGCAGGGCTCCTCCCGCTATCGCAACTCGCAGGATGTTGAGCTTCAGCAGTTGCCTTTGCTTAAAGGTTAGTCTACATTTGGAGAAAAATATCAGTCATGAACAAGTACAAGTTTACATGTTTGATATTGAGTTAATACATATTTGGCTAAACCAGTGTACATAAATTCTTATACATAATTGCAAAAACTCTAAAATAGTTTATTCAACTATTACACACACGCGCGCGCGCGCGCACACACACACACACACACACACACACACACACATTAATTTTGCACACAAAAGTGCATAATTGTCATCTTTAAGTTAAGCTATCACTGAATGTGACAAAGAGAGATCTTTCTGTTTGTTTCAAATGTTCCGTGTCTGTCTACCGACAGGGAAAAGTGAGCTTGATTCTCAGATCTTGGATAAATTATGTATATGTGTGTGTGTGTGTGTGTGTGTGTGTGTGTGTGTGTGTGTGTGTGTGTGTGTGTGTGTGTGTGTGTGTGTGTGTGTGTGTGTGTGTATAATTACTATTAGTTATTCTGAGCTAGAAAACTGCAATATATTTTCTATAGAAAGCGAGATGAAAAAGATTTTAAAGAAATTTAAACGGAATGTCAAAAACAAAAATTGCCATGATCTTGTAAGGAATTATGTAAAATTTGTGCAAACTCATTCAGTCACTTGATGTCTTTTATTTTATGCGAATACGTTGACTCGTTTCTTTCGGTATCTTGATTCAACATTCTTTTATCTTTTAGTAATAAAACAATAAAATATGAAGGATTCTTAATCTGTAAAATCATGCTGCTGAGAAAGACGATATAGAGAATGTTTGACAAAGTTTCCAATTTTATGTGGATTTAGTACTTTTTCGTGAGCGACATGGCTTAAGTAGATATAATATCTTTGATTAAATGTTCAGCATCTTTCCTTTCGATTTTCTTGTAATTTTATAAATTTATGTATTTTCATGTAAAATATATTCTGAGAAGAAAAATCGTCGTTTAAATCTCGTTTTCTGTTATTTAATTTCATATTTAATTTCATATTTAATTTTTTGATGACGGCAATTTTGAAAATGATAATTTAATGATATTTTACAACTGCGCATGTTCATTGATGTCATTTATGAATTTAATATAATTAAAGTATCTTTTTTAACTTAATGTTGTCATTAATATTGATATTTGTGAAATAATAATATTAGTTCAGTTAAGTATAAAAAAATTAAGTATAAAAAGGGATATTTAGTAATCGAATAACTTAATAATAATAAAAAATCAACAACTTAATTATATAAAAATTACAACTTAAAAAAAATTCATGGTTTTAACACAGACTTATATAAAGACCACAGACTTATAAAAGTCTTTTTATTTAATTAAAGCAGAGAAAAGCAAATAGATATTAATGAGCATGCGCAGTTGTAAAGTATCATTAAATTATCATTTTCCAACTTACCGACATTAAAAACTTGGAAGTTTAAATAATAAAAAAACGAGATTTGAACGATGATTTTCATTCTCGAAATATATTCTACGTATGAAATTACACAAATTTACAAAATTATAAAAAAATCGAAGGGGGCAGGGCACTATACTGAACTTTGGAATAATTGGCAGTAATTTTATCATCAGGGCTCATCACGTTGGTACATATCTACATCGATAGTTGTCGGTGTCGATAACTAATAATAGCCAATGGCAAGGACGATCCTAGGAAAAAAGCGCGATTCTTATTGGCTGTTGCTATTCAACGATACCGACAACTGTCGGTAGACGTATACAGAATATGCGGACTTATAGTCCTTAGAGCTATGGATATTCATAGGATCTTATATTCAAGATCGTTTATTTAAGATCTTATATTTTTAAGATTTTAAGAGAATCCCAAGGGAAATCCCAAAGCCGTCTGTATTATCGACTAAAAATCGTAATTTTTGTATAATAATTACTTTTTTCCTCTTTTACAAATTCGAAAATCTTTTTCCAGAATTAAAATATATTCATTAATATATTCATTAATGTCTGTGAGGTGGAGTTTATATCGAGAACGACAACAAATTTTAAAATTGAAATCTTAAGAAAAAATTTTGGAATAGGATTTTTGAATCTGTAAAAGATGAAAAAAGAAATTGTTTTACAAAAATTATGACTTAATTAGTAATGTAGACAGCTTTAGGATCTTAAGTACAATCTAATTAAGCTGTCCAAGATGTCATGAACCAAGGAGGATTGTATTAGCACCATAAGGCATTATTTAACACGGTCATAAAATATAAGAATCGACTAATATTATTATACACAAAATATAACATAAGCTGCACAATCATAAGGTTGCTGGACTAATATCCGATATATCCACACAAACTTGCAGTCTCATAAATATATGCATAAAGAAAATTATCCAATCGCATTTCTGCGCTGAGGATTTTCACAATGCAACCCTTAAGGGATTTCCCTCTTGGAGCAAAGTCATATTCATCTCTAAGTTGTTTAAAATTGTAAAATTACGCTATCTACGCAAAATATATCTTCGATTTACGCGCTACTATTTCCTGTACTATTGCATTTGTATTATACATATTGTATACTATTACATTGTATACATTTTATATTATTAATGATAATTTTGTACTGTGTGCCATTTTGGAAAAAAAATCATGATGGTGCTTAATAATTAAACTGGCAGGATTAATTCAAAATAAAAAAAAAAAAGAAAAATAATATCCGAAATCAATAGGATTGAATTTGTACTACCAAAAACAATTCTATATTGTGTGTCATTTCCAAGAAACAATGGCGCTGTTAATTTAATATTTAAGCTAACAGGATTTAAAAAAAACATAAGGGCAAAAATTAACACAATTGAGTTTGTATTAATTTGTACCATTGAAAATAAGTTAATATTTTATGTTTTCTTCTTAAAATGACTTTATTATATTTACAATGAGGCATTCTATGTCAAATCGGGCATCTTTAAAACATCATTTTATTTTTTTTTAAATTTGCTGACATATAATATATGCTACAGATAAAAATATGAGGCACGTGTTTCGCGAAAAAAATTTGAGATTTTTTTTTCTAAAGTTATTCACGTTTGTAAGTTACAGAAATTCATTAAAAACGTCGCTCATGCAAACGTTACGATTTTTTTCCAAATGACACACGGTATAAAATTATCATTAATAGTACAATCTATATAAAATGAACGTTAAACAGGGTAAAAAACATGTTTTAAACAGTTTAAAACATGTTTAATTGATGTTTTTAATATGTTTTAAATATGTTTTTTTATAATACTGTTTGAAGCATTAAAAATATATTAGAAGAAACATAATGATTTATTCTTAAAAAAAAAAAAGAAATATTAATCTGCCAATCGTAAGAAATATTAATTTGCCAACCGTAATACTAAAAATTCCGATAGGTCTGATTTGTTTCTATTTCGTCCTATTAGCTTTATATAGAGCTTTTGTTTTGCATAATACTTTACTTATAATGTATTAGTATTGTAAAAGAATTATGTAATTTCTTGCTCTTCTCTGACAACAGTAATAAGTCCTGTACACAACGCGACAACTCTTGGAAATTGGCGTGAGAGTTAATCAGTTTATCACTTTTCATAAAAATGAAAGAATGATTGGTTACTATGCTAACTTCCGCCGCAGCAAGCGTTACAGTATCCTGTCTGCAGGAGCCATAAGTCATTCAATACATTGATGGACTGACTATGTGTTTTATTTATTAATAAAGATAATGCCATTTCATGTTTTGGCAAACTACATGTTAAATCCTGAGTAATATTGCAGTTGTCATATATTTCGCTTATTTATTTTCTTCCATTTCAATCTTGAACATATGATAACATTTTTCCTAAGCAGTTTAAAATTTTTTTCTGATACAGTTTTCTCTGCAATACTTCTATTAAATAATATTGTATCTATAACAAGAAAAAGAAATTAGTAAGTATACACTGAATGAAATGTGTATGTAATAGTTTATGATGTGTATGTAAAAAATATTAAAAACACTTTCACCTTTCAATTGCAATTAAAAAGCCATATTACACATGAGAAATTTGTTATTAACTCTTGTGAATTTCGTTATAATTTAGGTTGTTATGAATTTTTTGAACATATTCACTAATAATTTAATAATAACTCAATTTTTGTTTAAACAAATTCTAAGTATGCAATTTTGGAAACAATTTAAAAATATCATTTTAAATGTTAAAATGTTTTTATTGACATAATATATATAATTTGGAATACAAATAAATAAATACTTAAATTTTAATCATATTCATTTGTAGCTTATCGTCATTTCTTTATCAAATTTTATAAACTCTACAAAATTGCTAAAGAATCGGTAAAGAAATGTTATGATTTTCTAAAAATGTATCACGATTATAAACTGGAGCTTTTTGCATCGACTCGTTAATTTTGATTGCTTGTCTTTTAATAAAGTTCAAATCGCACTTGATAGCTACCATGTTTGTAGCTAGTGTTTGTAGAACTGGAAATTAGTAATATATTTTATATATTGATCAAAACATACTGAATGATTGCAAATTGAGATCGGATCATCGTTTAGTCTCATTGGATGTAGTTTCACTTTTCAGGACTAACGTCCTGATAAACTTAGCAGTGAAAAGCATTTAAAACATAATTAAGAGATGATATTTTATTTCATAAAATACGAATATTTCTTTAGAAGAATTTTTAATTTCAATCAACTTTTTCAATCAACTTGTATTAGACTTTACTTATTTTATGTTTAATAAGGTTGATAAGCATTATTTAGTATTCCAATGAGTTCTCCATTGTCATCAATTATTGTTTACCTAGTATGCAAAACTTAGAAATCTCTGCATTAGAATTGTTATTCTTTTAACTTCCTTTCCGTAAAATATATCGACATTCTGCTTTCTATTCCGAAAAATATTTTTCTGAATTCTTTCAATTCTTTATATGAAAGATTGCAGTTTATAATCGAAAAAAACAATAGTATTAGTTTTTTAGATATTTGTCTGATAAGAAGAAATGATCATTTTTTTCCATCATAAACCTTTTCAAACACTTGAATTTTTATTTCAACAATCCTGTTACAAGAAGGGTATAATATTATTAAAATTATAAAATATAATATTATATATAAAAATTAATCTTTTAATATTTTATATTTGTCACAATTATACAAAGATTTAAAATGCTCTTTTACAAGAAAGACATTATAGATAATAAAGATATTATAGATAATAAAATTATCTATAATATAATATGATGATGCTGACAATTCTTACCTTACCAGGGAAGAGAACATTCTTTACCATTCCTTATATTAACTCCGAAAAATATATTCCGATTTCTACACTTAATCGCAAATTTATTTTATGATTGCTCATATGCTGAAAAAAATTTATAACGACCGATAAAAATTTATTAGATAATAATAAGTATGTCTCGTGTATGTTGTGATGTATGATGTGATCATTTATAAGATCAATTGCTTGGGTTGTGAAGCATCATACGTGGGTCAAACTAAAAAGAGTTTTCTATATATAAAATTCTATATATAAAATGTATAAAAATTAGAAATTGTTGAAATTTTGTTTTCAAAATGAATATATTAATAGATTTTTAGTAGAACTATCAGGTATTGTTGCTGAAAGTGCTAACATTGATCATTTTCTTGTATTTTAGAGGAAAATTGTGCTAGATTCGCAAAGTTAGCACATCATACTTTTATATTTGCTTTTTTTATATAAAATATGCTGAATTTATTTTTATTTTTATATAAAACTATAGAACTATGGAGAGAGAGAGAGAGAGAGAGAGAGAGAGAGAGAGAGAGAGAGAGAGAGAGAGAGAGCTGCTAGAACTATTATTATTTTTTTATTTGTATTAATATAATGTTGTACTAATTTCATAGATCCTTCGACGGCTAAAATCCATTGAATATTATTTAGGGTCATGATAACATTAGTCAAAATCAAAATTGAAAGTTGTTCCTCTCATTTTTATTTTTAACATAAAAATGAAAATAGAAGAAACAACTTGCAATGATCTTGAGTTTGACAAATGTTATCAAGATCGAAAGGAATTTCTTTATAATACTTTGAAAAGATCTTAACGTCAGTTACAAGAATAATGAATAGAAGTGAGAGTTTCCATTCAAAATTTTAAAGTTGAATTTGACTTCTCTATACTTATACTCAAAGTCAAATAAGTCTCGCCATTCAATGTATTATTCCAAACCTTAATACTTGTGTGAATGTTGTTTTCTCAAAAATTCACTTTTTAATAAGATATTCGATTGTATCATATACAGGGTGGGCCGAACTTTCGGCCCATCCTGTATATAAACATATAATAATATTCTTTTATTACAACTATAAAGAAAAAATTATTTTTTAAATAATGTTTGAGGACGATTTTGAGATTAAATTCCAATTAATTTAATGGGTAATTGATTCAACTAATAGTAGCATTCAAAAAAAATGTCTAATTATATTATATAATAGAATTTGTTGTCTTGAACCTTGTTTTTATATATTAAATAAAAAATGAATCTTAACAAAATGTTAATAAAATAGTAGATACGAATATTATATAATAATTTCCGATTAAGTTGGAATTTGATCAAAATCTTTAAAAATGTAAATATGAAATTCGTTGACCAATTTTTCTTTAATCAGTTTATCTTTGACCAATCCGTTTCTAATCGATGAAAATTTGGCGGAAGCAAAAATATTTTGTCTATTAAGATCATAAGGTATTTTCCATAAGAGACTTCTGTGATATGTATTAACGAGTAACACGAAATCTTGCGTTTTAATTTTAAGCGAGTCAGAGTTGAGTTAGAGAGATAAAAATCTTAGATTATTCGTCGAAAAGTTTTAGTTGAAAGATGTACACTACATATTATAATTCGTTTGTAGAATCATTTCAGCATTCGATCATTCTATTCTCTCGTGACTCGTGTAACTTGTACGCTTCTAGTTTCTATCAGCTCAATTAAATTGTTTGCTTACAAATTTAGAAGCAAACGAAATGATAACATTTTATTGAGCTTCTTGCAGCAGAGAATTAAAAATATTTCACCTAGCACTTTACTCTCCGATTTCGTTTTGCACATATAATGAATGAATTATTTATAACGAGAAACATCAGACAACTCAGATAAGAGGATATGTCGGTTCTGTAACTTTTCTTGATGTTTTTCTTTATAATGTACACTTAGGGAGATTGTTGCAGAAGGGATTTGAAATGTGTAAAATTATAAGTTATATTAAGACTATTTGTTTGTTGCAGATGTTAACGCTGCAGAGCAGGAGGAATTATTTATCAAAAAATTACGTCAATGCTGCGTGGCATTCGATTTCATGGATCCAATGGCTGATCTCAAAGGCAAGGAAATTAAACGAAGTACGCTCAATGAATTAGTCGAATATATCACAGCAGGGCGAGGTGTCCTCACCGAGCCTATTTATCCGGAAACTATCAAGATGGTATGTATTTAATAAAAGAATTATGATAAAATATAAGAAAATTATTAGAATTAAAAATAGTATTCCATTTTTTTGTATTGAATAATGCTTTTAATATATGTTAAATATATCTATACGAAAAAAATAATGTATTATAAGGAGATGCTGGCGTGACTTCCGTCAAGTTAGCACTTCGGTCACTGAAAAGTAAAATAATATATATATTAAAATTAAGTGCTAATTTGGTGCTAATTTAGTGCTCTATTCCTGCTTTTAGTGCTCAAGCAATTTAATAAAAATCTGTTTAAAGGTGAGAGTGTTAAGATTCATGCCAAGTTAGCAATCCAAACTACAAATAAAAAAATAATTACTATTACAAAACTAAATGCTTTTAAGAGCAACTAAAAATTTTCGTAAAACCCTTCTCAGGTCCACGTACGGCTTGCTCTACTTCCAGATCCAGTTCAGATTCGATGCCCTAATAGAGCCCTAGTGTGATAACTCCACGTATCAAATAGTTCTGATCAGGCTGTCGGATTAGGCACTGATCAGGTCGCCGGATTAGGTACTGATTAGGCAACAGGGCATAGATCTGATTACTCGATTACAGTCTAATTTTAATCGGATTTGTCATTATCATTCAAGTTATCGCATTTGATGTAATAAATGCACAATATTTCTAAATTTAGAAATATGAATATTTAAAAAAGTATATACTAAAATTATTATACAAAAATTAAATGTATATTTTTAAATGTAGAATTAAATTTAATTATGAATTATTTTTCGCTACTAGATGAATATCTCGCGAATTAAGAAAAATAGAAAAAACAAGTTTGAAATAAAATCCTTAGAGTTTATAATTATATTTTTATTAAGATTATTAAGAATACATTTTTATAATTTTATAAGATTATATTAAAATTATATTTTCATTAAAATCAACTAATATAATCTTGATATTGTATTATAAGATTCGGTTTTTTTTTAACATTATAACATTAGAATATGCACTGTTTATTGTAATTTAATTACTTTTTTACTTTTTTCCGAAAAAGTTCGTTGACTTTCCCAGTCTTATGCATTATTAATTACTGATTTGGATGCTTCGATAAAATCTTTCTTTTTTAAGTCAGCCTTATTGATTAGAGAAAATCCTGCAATTAATGAAACATTAATAAAACGATTTATTTAATAAAATAAATAAACATAATTTCTTACAAAAGAGCCTCGCGAAGTATCAAATTTTGACTTTGACGAAACTGTATATACATATAGATTACGTAAATAAATGAATTTAGAAAATATCAGTTGCAGCTTATAAAAATGATTTTAACGGAGAAATCATTCCTCATATATAAAACGGTTTTCAATTAAAGAATAATAAAAAAATTTTTTTGTCTTAGCACTGAGACACTACGTGTTTTGAGATATAATATTATCTCTCAGACATTCACAAATGGTGAAATAATGTTACTTTTAAAAATATTTAATATTAAATATACTTATTAAATATATTTATTAAATAGCAAACATTATGAAGAAGACTGTGCTTTTAGTTGTAGAAAATGGGTAAAGACAGAAGTCCACGGCTCATCAATGTGAAGTTTCTCGTCAGACATTAAGAAGATATTTAAATAAAGTTAAAAAAAATAAATTTAAATTATCAAATAAAGAATTTAAATTCCTGTGCTCATATTACCCCTAAGGATGCTCATATTATCCTTTAAAGGGTAATATGAGCACTAGGCGGATAATAAGAGTACTCGCCACCATTTCAACATTTGCATTAAAATAATTAATAAAATACATAAAATATTAACAAATTTATCAAATAGTGCACAAGATTTTTTATTCTTTAGTATGCTAAATATAAATATAATATCAAAATGTTTCCTTAAGGTTTATAATATTCTACTCTATATGTTATCAAAGTCAAGATCATCGGAAAAGTCTCTTGTACAAAGTGGGGCATTTAAAGTGTTACAAACATTTAAAGTATTATCTCTGAAAGTATGCATTGAATAAAAAATATGCTTAGACAAAAGTTTTTACTTTGAGGAGAACGTAAGATGATACTATTGGTTTGACCTTGGGTGTCGTTGTCTAGGTCAGAACATTTTTAATTTTTTAAACCCCTTATTTTTCATTGCATATTCTTGTAGCTTATCTCGAGAGTTTTTCAAAACACTGTAATAGAATATTTTTTCGTTAAGTACTTTTCAAGTTATAAGACTTGAAGGCTATTGTATCGCCGGTAGCATTACCCGAAGTGTTCGACCGGCTAAAACTTCTTAAATGTTGTTTAGGATTATAACTTAGATAATATTTGTTGTGTAGGCCTTGGAGGTTGTTCCTCTTATTTTCATTCTTGCATTAAAAATTTATTTTTATGTAAAAATAAAAATAAGAGGAACTTTCAATGGCCTTGATTTTAATAAATATTATCCGGAGCACTCTGAACAACAGAGTGCACTGAAGAAATTTTAGTCGATTGGAGTATCTTGAGTAATGTTAATGCTGGCGGTACTGTAGCCTTCAAAGTCTTGTAATTTGAAAAGTAATGAAAAAATATTCCATTATAGTGTTTTGAAAAGCTCTTGAGATATGTTACTTGAATACGCAATGAAAAATGGGGCATTCCGTTTAAAAAATTAATAGTGATTTTGCCTTGACAAAACCGCCATCTAAGGTCAAATCAATGGTACCATCTTATGATACCATCCTCTTCGAAGTCACAAAACTTTTGTCTGAACATATTTGTGATTCGACACATACTTTTAAGGATAATAGCTCGTGACACTTCAAATGCCTCACTCTGTATAGTTATGACTCTGAGTGACCTCCAAATTCAATTAGATCTACTATCAAAGTCTTAAAGTCTGAGAACTTATTGTGATAAATATTTAGTCATTTCTGAGATTTTATTTAATAAATATTCACTTTAAGGGAAGTTCCTCCAATGACAATGATCTTTACATATGTTGTCAAGATCATGACCTGCAACAAGTTTTAGTTGTCGTTCGTTAAAAAGTTATTAACAATTAAAGTTCCTAATTATTCTTCCATTTTGCGTTGAAAGTTGGATGACTCCAAGCAGGGGGGACATATGGGATAGACCGATTAGGCGCGTATGACTTTTTACATGAAGCGAAATCCATCTCCCCTTCTGCCTAGGCACAGACAATTTTTTATGCAGATGGATCTTGCTTCGCGTGGAAAGTTGAACGTCCCTAGGGAGGAAGGAGGTGGGGTGAACTTCACACTTCACATAGAAAATCATACGCTCTTAGACAGGGGAGGAGGTGAGATGGATTTTGTTTCGCGTGGAAAGTTATTACGTAAATAGAGAAGGATGTGAGATAGTTTTGAATATTGTATGTGACAGAAACAAGACATTTTTAAAATCTTTTGTTGTTAATAACTTTTTAACGTATAACGAGCGACAATTAAAACTTGTTGGAAGTCATGACCTTGACAACATATGTAAAGATCATTGTCATCGGAGAAATCTCCCTTAAAGTGAATATTTATCAAATAAAATTTTAGAAATGACTATTTGAATATTTATCAAATATTTATTTATTACAATAAGTTTTCAGTTTTAAAGTGCTAGTAGATCTAATTGAATTTGGAGGGATTATTAATAATTGATTGTGTTGAAAGATCGAAAGCAATCGGTGCAGTCATTTTCGAGATAAATTTATTTAAAATCCATATATATATCCATATATATTTTAAATAAATTTATCTCGAAAATGACTGCATATATATATATAT